GTGTGTGTGTGTGTGTGTGTGTGTGTGTGTGTTGTGTGTGTGTGTGTGCTTTTTTTTTCTTCCGTATTTGCGTCGTGATTTATTCTATATTTTGTGGCTGTATGGCTTTATGTTTCTGTATACGCTATTGTATAACACGTACCCATAAGTATGCATATATATATCTATATATATATATAATATATATATATATATATATATATATATATATATATATATATATGTATGTATGTATGTATGTATATGTATATACTATATATATATATATATATATATATAATATATGTGTGTATGTATGTATGTATATGTGTATGTATATATATATATATATATATATATATATATATATATATATATAATATATATATGCATAGAGAGAGAGAGAGAGAGAGAGAGAGAGAGAGAGAGAGAGAAGAGAGAGAGAGAGAGAGAGAGAGAGAGAGAGAGAGAGAGAGAGAATAAGAGAAGGATGGAATGAGCAAAGACCAAATAAGAGAACAGAGGAAGCAATATATAGTCTGATAGACGCAAATATATAAATTGATACATAAAAAAAGATAGATGGCTTGACTTCACATCAGGAACTCCCTCCTGAAGTCCAAGGTAGTTTGGCGACCGAATGCCTTCTAAATTCGGAACGGAGCTTGGACTCGAATCCGCGTGACTGGAGACCTTCCTGCTGATCCCAAGGTACATGCATTACCACAGGGCTACGGCGGTCGCAGGAAGAAAAATAAAACACATGTAGAGGCAGAAAAGGAAGAGAGAGTTTCTGATAAGAGAAATAAAGAAGTATAAAGAGAAAAAGGAAAGATTGTTTTAATCGGAAAAAAGGACGTGGATAGAGAAAGGAAGAGAGGGTGTTATAATGGGGAAAATGAAGCACATGTAGAGAGAGAAAGGAAGAGAGAGTGTTATAATAATGAAAAAATAAAGCACATGTAGAGAGAGAAAGGAAGAGAGATTGTTCTAATGAGGAAAAAAAACACATGTAGAGAGAGAGAAAGGAAGAGAGAGTGTTATAATTAATGTGAAAGCACCGTCAAAAATAGAAATAGGGGGAAGACAGGAAAAATTAGATACACAAGCAAACAAAGTAATAAAAGGGACATACGAAGCTATGCCAGAAACAAATTAATGGGGCATAACAAGGCGAGAATGATTATTACCATTTTTTTTTCACGGAGATGCTTCAAGTAAACAAAACAAAGTCACGTGACAGTGGTTCACGTATAAAGGGTCAGACAGAAGCCCGGATGACCAGTCGTTGTTCCTCCAGTGTCGAAGCAACACCATGAAGCTCTCGTTGACGGTCTTTATTGTGGTGACCTTGATAGGTAAGGCTGACCTTTGACCTGCTAGGTTTGGCTAGACTCGGGCGATTAGACTGTTTTTTTTTTTTAATCGATTAAGTTTCAGGAGCATGCGAGAGAGGGAGAACTACGCATGACTGCCTAATAAGCAATGGTCAAATCCAGAGTAGGTTGACACTAAAGATAATACTGGTAAAGAGAAGATTGAATATTGTAAATGTAAATCAGGTGGCTGATATATTGCGTTCAAACGCCACTGGGACAGCAGACAGACAACCAAAACCACCGGCCGATCTACTAACCGCTACCTTCCCCTGCTGCAGGCGCCGGGCGCAGCGCGCGCGTGCGCCGCGGCTACACCTTCGGCGGCGGCCTGGCCGGCCACGGCGGCGGCGGCTACGGTGGAGGCGGCTACCTCATCAACTCCGGCGGCGGCCACGGCGGCGGCTACGGAGGCGGCTTCTCGGCCAACGACGTGGCGAACCAGGCGGCAGCGGCGGCGCAGGCGCTGACGGCGTCCCAGCAGGGCGCAGCGGCCTACGCAGCGGAGCAGGCGGCCTTCAAGGTGGCGCAGCAGGCCATCGCCGACGCCGACACGGCCAACGACGCCGCCTACGCCAAGTTCGCCCAGGCGGCGCAGACAGCGCTGGCGCGGCAGGGGGCGCTGGCGGCGGCGCTGGCCGAGGGCGCGCAGAGGCAACTGCAGGAGCGCGCCGCCCTCGCCGCCGAGACGCAAAAGCTGTCGGCGCGGCGCGTGGCGGAGGCGCTGCGGGAGGCGGAGGCGGGCGCGCGGGGCACGGCGGGCATCGCGGCGGAGACGCTGTCCGCCGCCCTGGCCGACTACTCGTCGCAGAACCGCATGGCGTGGCAGGCGCAGGCGGCGGCGCATGCGTTCGCGGCAGCAGACGCTCGCCAACCAGGACCTGGACGGCGCGCAGGGGGCGGCGGCGAGGGCGACGGCGGCGGCGACGAAGGCGGCCGCGCGGGCCAGGGGCGGCGGCCACGGCTACCACTGAGGCCTTCCCGCGGCGCCGCTTGTTTTGCCGCTTGTTTGTTGTTCTTTGTTAACTGTTCTGCTCTCAATAAAGCGTTGGATTTGATGCTCACCCTGTCCCTCTTATTCTTTGGGCAAAACACACTATAGGCGGGTCCTAGACACTTCAGTATATGCAAGCCTTCAAACGAATCTTTGAAAGTGATTAAGAGGTGTGCCTTTATTTGTTTTTACTGCGGGCCTATTTTATATAATTCACAGATTGATAGATTTTACCATTTTAGATTCCCTGTTCCTTCTCACGACTAGTATTGTGCATAAACCTATACATTTCTTAAAAAAAAAGAAAAAAAGCTTTTAATTATCTATAACTTCTTAGTTCCTTCCACATAAAGGGAAAAGGCAGGAAGAAAGAGAGGAGAAAAAGAGAACTGAGAGAGTTGAGAAAGAGAGGGAGGGAAAGAGAGAGAGAAGGACGAGAGGAGAGAAAGAGAGGGAGAGAAAAGAGAGAGAGAGAGAAGAGAGAGAGAGAGAAGACGAGAGGAGAGAGAGAGAAGAAGAGAGAGATAGGGAGGGAGGAGAGAGAGGAGAGAGAGAGGAGAGGAGAGAGAGAGAGGCGCAATGTAGAGAAGGAGAGAGAGGGGGAGAAAGAGAGGAGAGAGAGAGAGAGAAAGCGCAGAGGGCAGCTATGCAGGAGAAGAGAAAATGGCGGAGAGGAATAGAGGATAGATAGTATAGAGAGAGACAGCCATAAGAGAAGGATAGAAAGCGAGAGATAGAGATGAATAGATTAGGTAAGGTATAGGAGAGATGCAGACATGCAGAAAAAGTGAGAAAGCGAGAGAGATAGAGATAGATAGATATAAAGAGTATAGCTGCTATATTAACTACGTACTGTACATATTACACAAAATAACATCCAAATCGTTTGCTTTGCCTCTAATTTACACAGAGATATAGAGAACATGAAGTGTTTGCAGGCAGTGGCTCATGTGTAAGTTATAGCTACAGGTATCGAATTTCTTACTAAATGCCCATCAGGTATTGTATCATTTATTATCATTTCGTTATCTCATCCCATTTAGGAGAGATTCGATAAAGGTATGTACATGGTTGTTCGTCGCAGTCCTTCCAGTGGCGTCCTACCCATAGTAGGATCCCCCGGAGGCCCCGTGGCCGAGCCCGGCGCCGTAGGCCTTCGCCAGGGCCTTGGTGGCGGCGGCGGAGGCCTGCGCGGCCGCCCCGCCCGCCGACTGCAGCTCGTGATTGGCGAGGGCGCTCTGGAACGACAGGTCATTGGCGGCCGACTGGGCATAGCGGGCATCTGCCGCCTGGGATGCCGCGTAGGCAGAGGCTCCCAGGAAGTTGCTGCGGGCATAGGCCAGGTTGCCGTAGTTGTTGTAGCCCCCGTAGGATGCTCCGTGGTAGCCCCCGACCTTGGCAGCGTATGCCTGTTGCGCTGCTGCGGCGGCATAGCCGGCTTGACTGGCCTGTAGGTAGGCATTGGCCTGCGCAGCGCCCGCAGCTTTGCTCAGATGGGCGGCCTGGGCGAGGCTGGAGGCGCGGGCGGCGTTGGCGCGGGATGCGGCTGCGGCGGCAAGAGAGGCGGCACCCTGCGCGGCGCGGGAGGCTGCGGCATTAGCGACCGCGTCCTGTCCGGCTGCGGGGCCGTGGGCCTGGTAAGCTGCCCTGCTTGCGACCTGGGAGGGCGGAGGGCCCGTGCGCGCCCCCCCCGACCAGCAGGTAGGAAGCCCCCGCTGCTGTAGCCCCCGCCGTAGCCGGCTGAGAGGCCCCCTCCGTAGCCTCCTCCGAACCCCCACGCCGCCGTAGCCCCCAGCGAAGCCTCGACGCACCTGGGAGAAGGTAAGCGGGGGGGGGGGGGGGCAAAGATCAAGCGGTTTACTTCCCTGGTACTTTAAATAAGAGGTAATGAGTGAGAATGGAAGAGAGAGAGAGAGAGAAGAGAGGAGAGAGAGAAGAGTAGAGAGAGAGAGAGAAGAGAGAGAGAGAGAGAGAGAGAGAGAAGACGGAGAGAGAGAGAGAGAGAGAAGAGAGAGAGAGAGGGAGAGGAGGGGTGGGGGGGAACGAGAGCGAGAACAAGAACAAAAACGAGAGAGAGACGGGGCGGGAGAAAGAGATAAAAGCAGATAGTTTCAGAATGAGAGACAAATATACAAATATCTAGGCAATTAGGTATATATGAGTGACTGACAAATATTGCTATAAAAATCATTATCACCTACAATCTAGAAATCAATTATATGAATGAAATATTACTCACACGATCAGCTGAGGCCAAGGCAACAACTGAAAACAAAAAGAACAAATAAATTCAATGTGCATCAAGCATTTGGCCTATATACTGTAACAAATACAGTGTACATCACATTTAGATTAAAGCTATTAAGTATTTTTCCACCAAGAATATCATCAATAACTAAAATGATTCAAAGAAAAATATTTAAAGTCATATCAAAATATAAACGTGGCGCCAATGGAAGCCAGAAACAAAAGACGGTCGCAATGCGCACCTGCCGCGAAGACAACCGTTCGGATACCCATGTTGTGTACGTTATTCTGGTGTCGTCTAGGAGACCCAGTGACATTATATACCTCGTCAGGGAAGGTGTGTCACCTGGTTGTCCCACATACGAGTTTTCTTCATCACAAAACATTGCGTAATAGTAAAGACA